CCCCCCCGGGGGGGGGGGGATGGTTACACCACAATCCCTTCTCTTCCATTCTCCCCTTGGGATCTTGGGCACACATGTGCACACATACACGCCTGGCCCGAGTTTAAGCCACCAGGTCTGGGACTCGAACCGCAGTTGACTACACAGGAGTCCAGCAATGTAGTCATTATGCCATCTGCTGGTCCCCGCTTCTTAGTTCTTTACACCTCTAAAAAAGATCTGTTATATTAAGTTCTGGTAATACAAATGGTTCTATACGTACACACACGTACCCAACCCTCTTGAATTTCTCTAGGAAAAAAGAGCTAAGCAAATGCTATGACCAAAACAATACAATAGCAAAACTCAAAGAAAGAGATAGAAACTATAGCAAAGCTGAATTTATGAAAGATTTTCAGAAACAAATCTAATCTGAAAAGTAATATCTGTCCCCAAAATCACAACTTCTGAACATTTTTTAAGTTTTTGCTAAGAACACATGTGCTCGCCAGAAGTAGGGAGAAGAGAAAACATCCCCTGTGGGGAATGGACACGCTGCAATCCCTTTGCCTCCATCTCTCCCTCATTTCAGGATTTTGGGCAGCCATGCACAGTGCCCAGTGTGTCTCTCAACCTGCTGTGTCTAGGATTCAAACTGTGTGGTTGGCATGTGGGATCTGGCTGCCTTAACCACCAAGCCATGGAGCCAGCCCTGAACATTTCTAAAAAAAAAAAAAAAAATTTTTAAAAAAAAAAAAAAAAAAAAAAAATCACTACCAGCAGGTGGTAGTGATTAAAGTGCTGGATCCCACATAACAGACTCCGTGGTTCAAGTCCCAGACCCAGCAGCTTGAAAAACATGCTGGGCACATTTGCACGTGTGCCCAAAATACTGAAAATAGAATGGAGAAGGGATTGTTTGTGGCATGGCCATCATCCTTGGGGGGGTGATTTCTCACTTTCCCTCTCTCACTGTCTCTTGCCAGGGAGCACATGTACTCTATGGAAGAAAAAAAATCTAACAAAAATCTGGGACCAGCAGTTAGCGTAATGGCTGTGTCACTGGACTCCCACGTAGTCGACAGCGGTTCGCGTCCTGGACCTGGTGGCTTAAACTCACGCCAGGCGTGTGTGCGTGCGTGCCCAAGATCCCGAGAGAAGAATGGAGAAGGGATTGTGGCGTGGCCATCCCCCCCTGGGGGAGTGATTTCTCACTTTCTGTCTTTCTGGCGAACACACGCGCCCTATAGCAAAAACCTCTCCAAAAAAAAAAAAAGAAAAAAAAATCTGTGCTTTAGCAATTTCCTTCTGAGGCAAACCAACATTACATTAATATCTGGAATATAAAATTTAGTTTAATGAACATATACAGTGATATTAGTAATTCATATAACTTTCCAATTTTCTCAGTGCTTAGACTGAAATATTGCTTATGTTTACTCCTACATAAAGTAAACCATACCTTTATGTTGATTAGAATCTGCATTGAAGTTCATCTGTCCTTCAAGATGATTCTGTTCATTATCATCTGAATGCCTAGCATGAGGATCATTATGAAGAATACTAGGCTGAGTGTCACTCTGTTCTCCCAACAAAATACTGAATAGCTGAGAACATAAAAAAAATCCTATTGCCGATCCACACAAAAAGGTTAAAAAATTCAGCCAGGATTTAGATGCCATCTCCCGAAAATGTATTTCTGGAAGAAAAAAAAAATTAGTGGGATGTTATAAAATTATAAAACAGTGTCTATGCATACTAAAATGTCTGATAACATATCTATAATGGGAAGTTAATTCCTTCCATAGACAAGAATATTTCCAATAGTATTTAATTTTTTATTATCTATGCATTTATCCCTCTACATCTCTAAAACTGCACTTATGGACAATCCAATAAAATAAATGAGCAGTAAGTATGACAATCATTGTTTGAGTGTCAGTAATTTGCACATGTAATTTCCCATTTGTCTCACCGGGATCCTTTGTGGACCCAAGTCTGGTTCTTTTTCTTTCTTTGTTGTCAACTGAGTATTTATATCTAGCTTTTTTGTTTGTTTCTTTAACAATCATCATCTACTCTATTCTCCAACCCAAAGGTTTCTGTAAAGGATTAAAAGAAAATTATTGTTGGCTTTGTAGGCCATGCACAGCATCTGCTACATCATCATCATCTTCTTAAACAACCATTTAAAAATGTAAAAACCGCTGACCACTGTTTATGGACGAACTAGTCAGAAAAATCTGGAGACTCAGGCAAACAGGCATGTCACCTTTTTTTTTTTAATAAAGTTTTAATTGAACAAGCTTGTGCCCATTCGTATGTGCATTAATTACAGTTGCTTTTGAACTACAATAGCATAATTGAGTAATTCCAACAGAGGCATTATGTCTCACAAAGCCTTACCTGGCTCTTTACAGAAAAAGTTTGCTGACCCCTGCTCTAATTCCCCTGCTTCACTGCTATGTTGGAGGTAGCCTCCTCCTGTTCACCATCTTTCATTGTTATCCCTCCCGAGGATTGCAAGATCCTGGATGGCATCTACATACTAGGATTACGTAGAATGCCTGGGACACGGTAGCTATTTGTGGGCACAAATGCCTGTTGAACTATATGTACCACAATCAAGTGTACAGGTCCTTTTTAAAGGTTTGCTAATAATGACTACATGGTGAAGTCAGAAATTCCCATTAAATTTGTTCTGAGAGTGGACTTAAGTCTATAGTTTCCAGTTTCTCAAGATAACTTTAATAATACATTAGTTAAATATTTACCACGTAACAAATACTGGCCACACATTTTAGTTTCAATTTCATTTTTCATTATCATTATATTATTTGGTAGATGAGAAAGGAAGATTTTGAAAAGTTGAACTCTCACAGGTTGTCACAATCAAAAGTCACAATTTGACCTCTCTGTTTGCTTAAAAAAGCTTTACATTTCTCAGAAAGTTTATAGCTAAAACACGAACAAAAAGATCCCAAGTCAACAACTTATCTTTAGAAAAAGAACAAACTAAATCCACAGCTAAATGAAAGAAATGAATATTGGAGCAATTAAAACAGAAGAGAATAATACAGAAAATAAAGCTCGTTCTTCATCAACAGACTAGACAAATGAAAGTGGGGGGCACTGCTACCAATTGTACATAGTCCTATGGACAACTGAATGCCAACAACTGCATAACCTAGGCAAAAGGAAAAATTTCTAGAAATACAAAACCAAGACTGAATCATAAAGAAATAGAAAAATCTGAAGAGCTGTATAACTAGTACAAAAATTTAATCAGTAATCAAAAAATTTCCAACGAGAAAAGTCCTAGACCTGATGGCTTCCCTGGTGAACTCTACCAAACATTTACAGAACTAAAACCAAGTCTTCTTGAACTTTTTAAAAATAGAGAAGGAACATTTTTAACTCATTCTGAGGCACTAATTACCCTGATATTAAAGCCAGACAAAAACACTGCAAGAAAACTGCAGACCATTCTATTATAAACACTGATGCAAAAATTCTCAAACTACTGGCAAACTGAATTCACTAGCATATTAAAAGAGTATAAACCATGAATAAATGAGATGTATTTCTGCAATACAAGGATGATTCAACTCATGAAAATCAAAGGTAATATACCACCATTAACAGAGTGAACAGAAAAAAAAAAAAAAAGAATGGTGATCTAAATTAAGGCAGAAAAAGCATTTAACAAAATGCAACACTCTTATAATAAAAACACTCAACAAAATAGGACTAGAAAAAACCACCTTGGCAAAATAAAAAGTTATATATGAGAAATTAACAGTGAACATCATACACAATGATGAAAGACTGAAAGTTTTCCTCTCAGATCAGAAATTAGACAAGATATCCACTTTTGCCACTTCTTTTTTTTTTTTCAACATAGTATGGGATGTTCTAGTCAGAGCAATTAGAGAAAGTAAAAGAGTTAATTAAAGAACCAAAATAGAAAGGAAAAAGAAAATTATCTGTTTGCAGATGATATAATCTTATATGTAGAAAACCCTACAAATTACATGAAAACCTATTAGATCTAATAAATAAATTCAGCAAATGTATCAGAATATGAAGTCAACACACAAGTAAAACAGGCCAGGCAGTCACGCAGCAGGAATGCAAGTGGACCCACAAGGGAAAGGTCTTGGGTTTGCATGCGAGACCTCCCTGAGATGTCATGACGTCCCTGCATGCCCATAATCTGGGCCAGCTGAGGGAGGGGCTGTGTAGATCTTACTACAGGTACATGACTCTCCCCCTTTCATAAAATAAAGTTAACACACAAAGTCATTTTTAAATGAGATTATAGGGCCAGCAAGTGGCATGGTGGTTAAGATGCAGGACTCCCACATGGCTCACTGCCACTTCAATCTCAGATCCAGCGGCTGGAAATTCATGCTGAGTGTGTGTGCCCAAGATCCCAGAAGAAGGTATTGTGGGGTGGCCACACCCCCGGGGGATGATTTCTCACTTTTCCTCTCACTGTCGGTCTCTTTCTGGTGAGTACACACATTCTATAGCAAAAACCTAAAAATAATAATAAAAAAAAACATAAGAAATTATGGAAAAAGAAGTACATGTGAAAATTTAATATATAACACGTATTTCAAATAAAGAAAAGATGGCTTATTCAAGAAATAGTACTGAAATAATCTTTTAGGAACTATAAAAATCAACCATATGGATCCCTATTTTTTGATAACAATTCCAAATGTTTCTAAGATTTCAATTTTTTAAGAAATGAAATTTGAGGCCAGCACGTGGCATGGTGGTTAAGGTGCTAGACTCTCATGTGGCCAACTGAGTCTCGGACCTGATGGCTTGCTTTCTCACTTTTTCTCCCTCTCTCTCCATGATGTGTGCCCTGTGGCCAACTGAAAAATAATAATAATTAAAAAAAAAAGAAATTAACAAGTGGGCCCTCTAATTTTAATTTCTCCTGAGAGGAGAAGGGAGGAGAAGGGACTGCAGTGTGGCCATCCCCCTAGGGGTGTTTTCTCACTTTCTCTCTCTGAGAACACATGTTCCTCATAGCAAAAAATCTCTCTTAAAGAAAAATAAATTAGAAGAAAACTTTTTTTTTTGTATTTTATTATCACGAATGGAGATCTCCCCAAAAGCGAGAAGCTATGACAATAGAAAAACTGAATTTATTCACTGGATAAATTTCTGGCAGTGAACTTGCTGGTTCAAGGATATGGTTCTTCATAAAATATCTTTAAAATGTCATACAGCAAAAAAAAAAAAAAAATTATCACAAAGAAGGGCACAAATAACCCAATATAAAAACATTAAACATGAAAGATTCACAGGGAAGGAAAGCACTGTGGTCGAGGATGTTTAACTTCACTCATAATTAAAGATAGGTTAAAACTAGTATCTTCATTTTACCTACCCACCATATTGGTAAAAATTGTATTTATTAACCCTGAGTACTAACAAATATGAGAAAACTGGCACTCATGAATTCTTGCTCACAATACCCACTTTCATGTTTGGAAGGACATTTGTCCACCTTTTAAAAACATTTTAAGTGAATATGCCTTGATACATCATTTCATGATCAAAAATTTATCTTATAGACACTGTCATAAAAGTCTGCCAAGATGTTTATGACAGTCACAATACAACTGTTTGATGATGGGAAATGAGCTCTAAACTATATAATACATCCATATAACAATATTCCATGCTGTTAAAAACGTGCATCTACTGACAAAGAAACTCTTAGCACTTTCAGCAAAGATTATTACCTTTTGTTAATAAGGTATATGGAATTTAAAAAAATTAGTTAAAAAAACTCACTAGAGGAAAACACAAGAGTGCACCCGTGCGCATGCAGTTTTCTTTATCATCGTTAGTTTTCTTTATCATCGCTATCGTAAACTCTTCCCAAAGCTGACTATCACAATGTTTCTTTTGTATGCGGTGGGGGAAGCAGTGCCTTTACTAGCATGTTATGTTGCTCATCTTTCATTTACACAAGATTATGCTATATCCATTAGTGTCCACTCTACCTTTCACTTTTTTCCAAAACACAACCTTCATTCTAACAACTATGTGAGATAAAGGATCTATTTTTAAGACTAAGTACCGAAATATGTATAGTATGATCCCACTTAGCTCTTTACATACACATATGTATGTTAAGAGAAACAGAGAAAGGCCTTGTTAAATATATGTATAAATATATCTCTGAGAACTAGTCGTGGGTTGAATGGGCAGGAAGGATCAAATTTATTTTTTCATGTTATAACCTTCTGATGTTTTAAGTACACATGGACTACTTCCCTAACAAAAATGAAATGAACATAGGCTATTTTAACTAGAGAATGGAATTTAAAAAAAAAAATCCAAAGGGCATTAATTTCCCCACACTTGTTACACAAAAGGGACTCCTGATCCTTTTCAGACTTCTCCAGGTTTTAACTCACATAAACAAATGCCTGCTAAACACTTCCACCTGGATCACAGGCATTTCAAATTCAACATGTCCGAAAAGTAACTCATTATCTTCCTTCCTTAAGCCTGCTCATCTTCCCGTGATTAGTGGTAATTACCTAAATTATACACCAACTGGTACCTATTTTACTCAGAGCCATCTGACTATTTAAACTAGAAATTAGGAAGACATTCTTAATGCTCTCCTTACCCTCACCCCAAATTCAATTACTAAGTCTTGCTGATTCTAGCTTCTAAATCTTTTTTTTTTTTCCTTTTTTGCTATAGGGCACGTGCGCTCGCCAGACAGAGACATAGAGACAGAAAGCGAGAAATCACCCCCCACAGGGGATGGTCATGCCGCAATCCCTTCTCCTCCATTGTCCTCTCGGGATCTTGGGCACGCACACACACACGCCCGGCGTGAGTTTTAAGCCACTGGGTCCGGGATGTGAACCGCGGTCGACTACATGGGAGCCTAGAGACATAGCCATTACGCTAACTGCTGGTTCCCTCTTTTTTTCTTCCCTATAAATTATAGCATGAGCTCACTAGAGAGAGAAAGTGAGAAATCTCCCCCTCAGAAAGGATGGTCACTCAGCAATTCCATCTCCTCCATTCTTTCCTTGGGATTTTGGGCACATACGCACACGTGCTCGTTTTTTTTCAAAGCCACTGGGTTCACGCAGTTGACCATGTTGGGGTCGAGCACATTAACTACCATGCCACCAGCTGGCCCCACCTTCTATTAAGACATTCTAATATTTGAAAATCTTATGGGCTCGTAGGTAAAGTCATGACGTATTTTTCTGCTTTTCTATGCAAAAATGTGTCATGACTTTCTTGGTGGATCCAATATTCTTCGAATACACTGTTTCCTCTCCATTTCTACTATTTGTATTCTTCAGAACTCCTCTCTCCCCTAAATTTTTGCAGTATCTAACCTATATCCCTGGCTTAAGTGCTATTTCTTCTCAACTCATCACTATTCTGTCATCAGAATGAAAATGAAGTCTTGAATGAACATGTCACTCCATTAGTTTTCTCATGGAATCCCACTGTCAATAAGACAAAAGCTCGCAGTTTGTTTCTGTTTGCTCGAAGGTGCACGCAATTACGAGAGAGAAGAGGAAGTAATCCCATACCACTCCCACACCCTATAAGAGTGTGCTCACACTGCAATACTGTTTCCTCCATTTCTTTCTTCAGTCAGAATTCTGTGCACACATGTGGGATCCAACTCCCTTGACCACTGTGCTGGGGGTTGGCTCCTCAAACTAACATCTTTAATTAACAATATATAAAGGTTCTTCTTGATTTAGTCTCTGTCTAGGTTTCCAGCCTCATCTTTCACTGTTCCACGTTTTCTAACTTAGGCTTCAGCAATCCTGATCTACATACTGTTCCCTAAACATCCCAAGGCAACATCAGTTCCTCTACTCCTACCATCCTCTCTGACCAAAACACCCCTTTCCCTCCACCATCTATGCCCCAACCTCAACTCTGACACTAGTGACATTATGAGTTGAGTAATTCTTTGTTGTGGAAGCTCATCTGTTCACTGTAAGAAATTTACCTCTACTTAATTAGATGCCATCAGCATCTCCTTGTGACAACCAAAAATGTCTCTAGTCTTTACCAAGTATCACCTCGGGATGAAAATTAGCCCTATTACAAACCATTCCATTAAACTATTAAAACTTAGTTTCTGGGGCCAGCAGGTGGGATAGTGTTTAGGGCATGGACTCCAACATGACCAAGTCCCAGACTTGGTGGTTTGAAACTCACACCAGGCATATGTGTGCCCAAAATACTGAGAGGAGAATGGAGGAGAAAGGACTGTAGTGTGGCCATTCCTCCTTGGGGTTGATTTCTCACTTTCTTTCTGTCTCATTGGTAAGTACATGTGCTCTATGCAAAAAACTCCCAAAATAAAATAAAAAATTAAATTTCACTTGGGATATGGCTGACCATGGTTCGAGTCCCAGACCAGACCAGGTAGCTTGCTTTCTCTTTCTCTCTCTTTTTTTTTTTTTTTTTTTTGGGAGGGTTTGCTTTAGGGCACTTGTTTTTACAAGGGAGACAGAAAGTGAGAAATCCCCCCCCCAAGGGGGATGTCACGCCATAATCCCTTCACCTCCATTCTACTCTCGGGATCTTGGGCATACACGCACATGCACCCAGCATGAGTTTAAGCCACCAGGACCAAGACTAGAACCATGGTTGACTACATGGTAGTCCAGTGACATAGCCATTACGCCAACTGCTGGTCGCACTCTCTTTGTCTCTTGGCTGAGCACATGTGCCCTATAACAAATTTTAAAAATATTACATAATTTTAAAAAATCTTAATTTCTCATATAATGAAATATCTCAGGAAGAAAACAGAAAAACTAGTTATAACACAGTTGGTTTGAGGAAGGCAACTAGTTGGTTGAGGTAACTAGAGTAGGGGGAGGAAACACTACTTTTCATTATATTCAATGTTTTTAGTTTTGTAACTCTTCGACCCTCTCCACTGCTACTACCCTAGTCTGAATACTTATCAACTACTGTAACAGCCTCCTACCCAACTTTTCTCTTCCTTTACCCTTTCCTTTATCCCACCAGAAGTCACAATGATCTTTTTAAAACCAAAATCAGATGTTACTTGCTTAAAAACCCACCACTGTCATCCTAATCTCACTGTGGGAAAGTCAAAACCTTAAATTGACCTTCACACAATCTGCTATCCCACACCACCCCTTTATTTCTGATCTCTCCTCCTAGGACTTAGTGTCTTTATATCTCAAAGATGAACAAATAGCAGCAGCAAGTCCATAGGACTGAACCTAATACTATCTGCTTCTCAGTTTGTTTTAATTCTAGACGCTTTGCTTTCCTATAAATAAGCCACATCTTGGCATTTGCTATTTCTGTTGGGAATACACCTTATCCAAATACTTACTGGGCTCACTCCCCAATTCCTTTAGGTCTTAACTTTT